TGTCAAAGGCAGGGTCAATGAGATGGAAGAAGGAAATATAAATGTTGCTGTCTATGAGAGGATCCATGGTCAAGCTATATTGCATATGTTTTTGTTTCTTTCAACAGTATCATTAATTCCCTTTTTTATATTCACTATAAAATTAGTGAATTTAAAAGAAAATTGTAATGATATATACATTATGAAATCTGTGTAAAGATTTTTAGCTGGTCTGCCAGGGGCTCAAAGTTGCTATTGGGCAGACCAGGAAAGGAAGCCGAACATCTTGGAAGTTTCTCCCGCAGATGCCAGGCAAAGCACCATAGCTTTGGGAGCAATGCAGGAAAGTCCTCCCAACTCCAACCAAACCAGGCCCCAGGCTTCTCCAAACACATCTCACTTTTAGCATGCAGCTGTGAGAGAAAAGAGGTGTGTAGTTTGAATTAGGATCTCCAAATTCAGAATTGAGAGTTCTCCGGATTAAATAGCACCAAGGAGCATCAGAAGTGTGTGAGATCAATTAAAGTGATTCACCGACATCAATGTAGTCTAACAACGACACTTATAATACTTGATCTATTGGTGAATCTCAGCAAATGGATTGAACTCCACAAAGGGATGTGTCAAAATAAATCAATCTTGAAGGTGCCACAAAATTATTTTGTCCCCTACCTTTGTTTTCTGTTGAAACAAATTAGCACAGCTCATTCAACACTGCAAAACCCTACATGCTATTGTTTTTAGCAACAGCAACCCAAGCTGCAGGTTCGCAGCTTGGGAGTGATCCTGGACTTATCGCTGAGCCTGGAACCCCAGGTCTCGGCGGTGGCCGGGAGAGCTTTTGCACAATTAAAACTTGTGCGCCAGCTGCACCCATACCTTGGGAAGTCCGATCTGGCCACAGTGGTCCACGCTCTTGTTACATCCCGAATAGATTACTGCAATGCGCTCTATGTGGGGTTGCCTTTGAAGACTGTTCAGAAACTTCAATTAGGCCAACGGGCGGCGGATAGATTACTCACCGGAGCATCATATAGGGAGCATACCACCCCCCTGTTATGACAGCTCCACTGGCTACCGATTCAGTTCTGAGCACAATTCAAAGTGCTGGTTTTGACCTACAAAACCCTATACGGCTCCAGCCCAGCATACCTGTCCGAACGTATCTCCTTCTATGTCCCACCTCGGAGTTTAAGATCTTCTGGGGAGGCCCTGCTCTCGGCCCCACCTTTATCACAAGTGAGACTGGTGGGGACGAGGGACAGGGCCTTCTCGGTGGTGGCCCCTCACTTGTGGAATTCACTCCCCAGGGAAATTAGGTCATCAACATCCGTCCTCTCTTTCAGAAGGAAGTTAAAAACCTGGATATGGGACCAGGCCTTTGGGTAAGCTGGCAGATGGATAAAAGACAATAACGACCAGAGTAGGAAAGGGCAATGACAATGCTGGATGAATTATGGATCTATGAATTGGCGAACGTTGACCACAAGATGATTTTATTGCTGCTATTGTATTAATGTGATTGTTTTAACTGGTTATAACTGTTGTTGTTATGTTGTATTTTGTATATTGTATTAAGTGAACTGTTGGGCATCGAATTGTGCCTTTTGTAAGCCGCCCTGAGTCCCGCCTAGGGGATTGAGAAGGGCGGGATAGAAGCACTCCAAATAAATAAATAAATAAATAAATAACAATTTGGAACAAAACAGAAAATTGGCGTTTATTGCTTCTTTGGTTTTGTTGTCCCATTTATGCAATGAGAAAGAGCCGGGGTGGCACAATGGATTAACTGCTGACCTGAAGGTCGGCGGTTTGAATCTGCGAGACAGGGTGAGCTCCCGCCTGTCAGCTCCAGTTTCCCATGCGGGGACATGAGAGAAGCCTCCTACAAGATGGTAACGCATCCAGGCATCCCCTGGACAACGTCCCTGCAGACAGCCAATTCTCCCACACCAGAAGTGACTTGCAATTTCTCAAGTCGCTTCTGTCATGATTTAAAAAATGAATCCCATTTGGTTTTCCCCCATTAAGCCTTCGCCAAACACAGTAGTGAGTGAGAGAGGTGAGGCTCTGCAGGGCCTATGAATCTCTAGACTCAGGTGCCCATGAATCTCTGCCCACAGATGAGGTGGTGGACTGGGCCATTAACTTTCCATTATACATCCTGAATTGAAATGCACTTACCCAATGAAATGGGTTTTTTAAAGCATAGAAGATCCAACTTGCACCTCCAGTTCCCCTCTCTTCAAGCACAGTTCCACCAATTTAGATGAAGTGGCAAATGTGCTTAGTACACTTGGTTGGATCTGTGGGTGCCGATCCCGTGGAGGTATAGGATAGCTGGCTACTATGTTAGCTACAGGTTTTAATAATTTGGCTAAGCAGAAATGTAGGAATGGTATTTTAGTGGATTGCTATGAGTTTTCCAGGCTGTATGGCCATGTTCCAGAAGCATTCTCTCTAGGAGAAATGATTCTGGAACGGCCATACAGCCCGGAAAACTCACAGCAACCAGTGATTTCAGCCATGAAAGCCTTTGGCAACTCATATCAATATACTATTTCCTATAAATCCATGTTTCTCAACCTGAGGCGGGTCATGAGGGGGGTGTCAGAGGGGTCGCCAAAAACCATCAGAAAGACCACATATTTCTGATGGTCTTAGGAACCCCTTTGGCAGAGAAGGCTGAAGATCTCTCCATCTCTCCTTCTCTTCCTTTTTGGAGACAGACTATGAATCCTCCCACCAATGATTGGCTGGCCTCTCAGCTGGCCTCTCAACCAAGGGGAGGACTGTTTCTGAGACTCCAATTGGGAAGAGCAGGTATGCTCTCCCCTAGATCACTGTCAATTCCTCCCAAATCCCATTCTGTTGGTCATGAGGTTTCTGTGTCGGAAGTTTGACCCAATTCTATCGTTGGTGGGGTTCAAGGGGCACTTTGATTGTAACTGAACTATAAATCCCAGCAACTCCCAAATGTCAAGGTCTATTTTCCCCCAAACTCCACCAGTGTTTAAATTTGGGCATATTATTTGTGACAAGTTTGGTCCAGATCCATCATTGTTTGAGTCCACAGTAGTTTCTGGATGTAGGTGAACTATGACTCCAAAACTCAAGGGCAATGCACATCAAACCCTTCCAGTATTTTCTGTTGGTCATGGGAATTGTGTGCCAAGTTTGGATCAATTCCATCATTGGTGGAGTTCAGAATGCTCTTTGATGGTAAGTGAACTACAAATCCAAACAACTACAATTCCCAAATGACAAAATCAATCCCCCCTGCAACCTCACCAGTATTCAAATGTGGGCGTATCGGGTATTTGTGCCAAATTTGGTCCAGTGAATGAAAATACATCTTACAGATCAGAAATTTATATTACAATTAATAACAGTAGCAAAATTACAGTTATGAAGTAGCGACAAAAATAATTCTATGGTTGAGTTGTTACCAAACATGAGGAAAAATATTAAGAGGTCTCAGCATTACAAAGGTTGAGAAACACTGCTATAGATAAATAAGACAAGGGATGGGATGCTGTGAGTTTTCCGGGCCGTATGGCCATGACAAGGTGTGGGGGGGGGGGAGGGTTTAATGTATCTGTGGAATGTCCAGGGTGGGAGAAAGAAATCTTATCTGTTGGAGGCAAGTGTGAATGTTGCCATTGGCCACCTTGGCTAGCACTGAATGGCCTTGCAGCTTCAACTGTATTTTAGTTGGAGAAGTCACTGCCTACAGCAATGGTTCTCAACCTCTGGGTCCCCAGTTGTTTTGTCCTACAACTCCTGAAATCACAGCCAGTTCACCAGCTGTTAGGATTTCTGGGATTTGAAGGGCAAACGTCTGAGGACTCACAGGTTGAGAACCACTAGCCTACAGTATAACACATAATCTATGTAGACAAGGTAAAGGTTTTCCCCTGACATTAAGTCCAAACGTGTCCAACTCTGGGGGTTGGTGCTCATCTCCATTTCTAAGCTGAAGAGCTGGCGTTGTCTGTAGACATCTCCAAGGTCATGTGACCAGCATGACTGCATGGAGCGCCGTTACCTTCCTGCCTGAGCGGTACCTATTGATCTACTCGCATTTGCATGTTTTTTAATTGCTAGGTTGGCAGAAGCTAGGTTGGCAGAAGCTGGGGCTAACAGTGGGAGCTCATGCCGCTCCACGGATTTGAACCTATGACCTTTCGATCAGCAAGTTCAGAAGCTCAGTGCTTTAACCCACTGTGCCACAGGGAGCTCCTATAATCAATGGACTATGCTAATCTAATATATTGTATGTATATATATCTTCTAAGCTGCTCTGAGTCCCCTTCGGAGTGAGAAGGGTGGCATATAAATGTAATAAATAAATAAATAAATATTGTTAGGACATTGCTAAATTCCTTGGGTTTTTGTCTTTCTGGTTTCTTGGCTGTCTTTGAAATCACTGGGCTTTTCTCCCTACTTGGCCATTGTCTTGCTCTGAAAGCTCTCAATGAGAAAAGACTCCAAGGCGAGTCCAAGGGAAGCCAGCCCTTGTTTCTCCGGCAGCCTTTGCCCCACAGCAACCACCAGAGGCTGGAAGCCCCAAGGAAGCCCGGCGGAGGCTCGTCCTCGCCAAGGGGTCTCCAGATCACCCAAGGTCCACCTTAAGGAGCCCGTCGGAGCAGGGGAGGGGGGCTTGGACCGGAGCGGACCATTTTCTCGGAGGAGGCTGAGCCTCGCTTCTTTGGGGAAAAGAGAAAGAAGAGCTTCTCTGACTCCGCTTCCCTTCCTTATGAAACCCAAGGCAAAGACAGCAAGCGGGGGAGGGTGCCTCTCTTTCGGGTGGACGTTGAGGGGAAATGAAGCCCAGTGTTGGCCGGCTCTGTATAGGCAACCTCAGACACCAATGCCTCCTGCTTTGCGCGCTGGGCTGGAGGGGGGAAGGCTGCTGTGCCTTTAAGAAAGCAAAGCTGGGCTCTGATTGGCCAGAAGAGGACGAGGGGGCGGGAGGAAGGCAGAGAGAGGGAGGGAGGGAGTGCCTGGCTGGCTGGCTGGCTGGCTGGCTGGCTGGCGGGGGCGCCTTTGACTTGCTTGCGTTCTTCTCCTTCTCCTTCTCCTTCGGAGGTGGATGGGCTTGGAAGAGCAAGGCGCTCCAGCCCCGGAGAGCTTGTCCAAGGAGGACAAAGCTCACTCTGAAGACTTGGGATCAAGGGTGAGTGGCTTTGGCTGCTGAGTGAGAGCTGGTTTTTAAACACACCTATAGAAAGATGTATGGAGAGGGGTGGTGGGGTTGGACTCCTGCACCCTTGTCTCTCAGTCTGGAATGCCATCTTTTGGGGTCACCTGTGGCTCTTTCCCTTTTGGGTGGCACTTTTGGGAGACTGCCACAAGGTTAGCAGTGGATCAGAGGCAAGAATTGGGGGGGGGGGTGCAAAGGACACGTGCTTGGAGGGGCTCTTGTTTAGGAATCACGAAGTGTTTGGAATGTGGTGGAGGCTCCTTCTTTGGCGGCTTTGAAGCAGAGGGTGGATGGCCATCTGTCGGTAGTGCTTTGAATGTGATTTTCCTGCTTCTTGGCAGGGGGTTGGACTGGATGGCCCACGATCTCTTCCAACTATAGGATTCTATGAAACCCTCAAGTATGGGTGGTTGGTACTGTTAGTAGCCTAGACGTTTGACAAGCAGTAGTTGGTGGGAACACATGAGCCACCAGGCATCCCTGCAAAGCCCAAGGCTTGCCCTGCATCCGCTTGCCAAGAGGGTCCGCCAAACTTTCCACTGCTTCTGCAGCCACAGACTGGCAGAGCTGCCACCCTTTGGGAGCCTCCTTCCCAAACTGCAGATTTCTTCCTCCTTGTCTGGTCAGCGTCACAGAGTTCATTTCCTTCCCAGAGTGAGAGAGAGAGAGAAAGAGAGAGAGACCGCAGTGTGTTACTTGAAGGAACTTTGCCAATGCAAGTTCACATTCGGGTAATGCCATTGATATTGGGAAATATATAATTTTTTACCCTTTGTAAGAGTGACTAGAGAGAAGTCTGTTGAGAAGCAAGAAAATTCCACTTTCTTTTTCCAGTGAACTTTTCTGTCACAGCCAGCATGCTCTGGAGTTCTCTTTTCTTTCTGCGTTTGCTCAAAACTGAGCGCAGCAGAGTTTAATGTGACTTCCCCAAAAATAAGCTTATTGTGGACTTGGTGGCTTGCTCTATCTATATATTTGAGCTTTCTGCTTCCATGACAGATATTGGCTTGCAAATTCCTTATAAAAGCATGCTTTTCAAAAAGGAACCCCTGATGGTGCAGCAGGTTAAACCACTGAGCTGCTGAACTTGCTGACTGAAAGTTCAAATCCAGGGAGTGGAGTGACTTCTGCTAATACCCCAGCTTGTACCAATCTAGCAGTTCGAAAACATGCAAATGTAAGTAGAAAAATAGGTACCGCTCTGGCAGGAAGGTAACTGTGCTCCGTGCAATCATGCCATCCACATGATCTTGGAGGTGTTTATGGACAACGTTAGTTCTTCAGCTTAGAAATAGAGACGAGCACCAACTAGACTTAATATCAGGGGAAAACTTTTACCTTTACCTTCCAAAAACACATACAGTTGCAGCATTCACACTTGCCTCAATGTGTTATTGAAGGCTTTCATGGCTGGAATCACTGGGTTGCTGTGAGTTTTCTGGGCTGTATGGCCATGTTCCAGAAGCATTCTCTCCCAATATTTTGCCCAAATTTATGGCTGGCATCCTCAGTTATGAGGTTTGTTGAAGACTAGACAAGTGGGGTTTATATACTTGTGGAATGTCCAGGATGAGAGAAAGAACTCTTTGTCTGCTTGAAGCAAGTGTGAATTCTGAAATTGATCACCTTGCTTAGCATTGAATGCCCTTGCAGCTTCAAAGACTGGTTGGTTGCTGTCTGGGAGATCCTTTGTTGGGAGGTGTTAGCTGGCCCAGATTGATTAGCATCTGGAATTTCCCTGTTTTGAGTGTTGTTCTTTATTTGCTGTCCTGATTTTAGAGGTTTCTTTAATCCTGGTAACCAGATTTTGTTCATTTTCATGGTTTCCTCCTTTCTGTTGAAATTGTCCACATGCTTCTTGTGGATTTCAATGGCTTCTCTGTGTAGTCTGACATGGTAGTTGTTAGAGTGGTCCAATACGTCTTTCTCTTTCTCTGTGTAGTTCTCTGTCTCTTTTCTGAGATTAAAAAACCTTTTACAAAGATTCTTCTTTTTACAAAACCTTTTACAATACTTCCCAAGAATTGTATGCTTCTCCTTTGCTTTTGAAAAGATCACTCTCTCCAAGGTAAATGTCTCAAGTTTAAAATTACTTGTCAGAGAGCTGAATAATCAAAAACTAGAAAGCTTCATATCTTAATGTTGATGAAAATTAGCTTTAACAGTGTGCATCTTTGCATACTCTATAGAAGGCATGGGCAAACTTCGGCCCTCGAGGTGTTTTGGACTTCAATTCCCACAATTCCTAACAGCCAGTAGGCTGTTAGGAATTGTGGGAGTTGAAGTCCAAAACACCTCGAGGGCCGAAGTTTGCCCATACCTGCTCTATAGCTAGTATAGAGTATGTGGTGAGCTGATTATAGTAAGCAAGTGCCCAGGCAAGTATGAAAGAACACCTATGACAAGTGTGTAAAGAGAATCCCAAACAGAGATGAATAGTTGAGTTGCTGAGAGCATGCAAGTCAGTTCTTCCAAAGGTAATTCACATTGTCTTAAGTAAGGCTGAACCAACATAGAACGATTGATGAATGGAGTTAAGGTTGTCCAGATTCCGGTATTTGGAGTGAAGCAATACTGGAATTGTAAACAGAAGGCAACTTTTCAGAGTTGCATGGGTTTAATAAATTAGCTCACTCTGTTTACTCTTCAGAAGGAAAACAGTGAGTTAGATCCATAGTTGATAATGCTTGAAAATAAAACAAGATTAGTCTTTCAATGCTTCTAATGAAGTAAATTGTGATGCTCAAAAGCTGACACCATGAGAAATCAGTTCGATTTTGTAAAGGGCCACAGACTCATGTTTGGTGCGAGTAACGGACTTACATGGCTATTGGTCTGAAAGTTCACAAAGAAACGAATCACCTTGGGCTGAACTTTTCATCTCCAAAAAAAGTAGCACGTGAGCTGGCTCTTTGACACACAGTCATGTGACTGCTTTGCCACACAGCCAGCTTGTAACACTGTGGGGCTGCTTTCTGTGTGACATTTTCCCGGCATAAATAGGACTTCCACACAGAAAACTGAGTACATCATGTTCTTTCTTTTTCATATGCTTTCGTCACTTGTAGTGGTGTGTGTCTGCCGAATGGAAGCTGTCATTGCTTTGTCACGACAATATTTCACCCACTTCATGGTAGCACACAGTACATTGTAGACAAAGCTGCAAAGTGCAAATGGTGAAGAAATCTTAGCTGTTTGCTGATTTCTGTTCATTGCATTTGCAGGCTTTTCAGCCTGCAAATATTGAATGTGCTGTGTTGACATGATACTGAAACCCCCCTTTTGTAACCTCCTTTATTCATCCATGAATACTTCAATGCAGAATGTTCTTGAAGATAGACAAGAAGCGAAATATTTTGCGCAAGAGTCTGTGTTTTCCTTACTGCAGGCATAGTAACCTGAAACCATATACTTTGAGTATAAAGTGTGAAACTTCACACCCCTCTGCAGTGCATAGCATACATTGACCTATACTGAACATTTATGCTATTGATTTCTGTCAAGAATGGCCCCCAGAGGGCAGAGGACTAATAAATGAGCAAGGACAAAAATTGCTACCATCTGTGAGGAATAATGTTCAGTGTGATGGTGAACAAGGTCAGCATCCCAAGAATTGGAAAATAGATGGTCTTGCTGCTCCATGTGTGTCATCTTTTAGAGGGTCAATCACAATTTATGTCAGTCTCACCCAGGCCAAGCTGGCTAAGACAATATCACAGGGATGGAGTATGAATATTAGGGCCCTTCCACACAGCCATATAACCCAGAATATCAAGGCAGAAAATCCCACAATTTCTGCTTTGAACTGGGATATTTGAGCCCACACTGCCATATATTGCAGTTCCTGGAATTGAATTATTCCATCAGCGTTGCCTCTGAAAAATCCTGCAAATCTCTTGGGAAGACAGGCAGACAAATATCAGCATGCTGGAAGAAGCAAAGACCACCAGCACTGAAGCTATGCTCCTCCGCCATCAACTCCGCTGGACAGGCCACATTGTCTGAATGCCTGACCACCATCTCCCAAAGCAGTTGCTCTATTCCCAACTCAAGAATGGGAAGCATAATGTTGGTGGACAGGAAAAGAGATTTAAAGATGGGCTTAAAGCCAACGTTAAAAACTGTGGCATAGACCCCGAGAACTGGGAAGACCTGGCCCTTGAGCGTTCTAACTGGAGGTCAGCTGTGACCAGCAGTGCTGCAGAATTCAAAGAGGCACAAATGGAAGGTGAAAGGGAGAAACATGCCTATAGGAAGGCGCACCAAGCCAACCCTGACCAGGACCGCCTTCCACCCAGAAACCGATGTCTTCATTGCAGGAGAACATGTGGATCAAGAATAGGGCTCCACAACCACCTATGGACCCACTGCCAAGACACCACATCTAGAAAACCATCATCCTTGGGCTACGAAGGATCACCTAACATATTCCAGTTCAAAGCAGATAATATGAAAAAACAGCTGTGTGGAAGGGGCCTTAGAAACACCGATACCTTTGGTGGCATTGCCAAAATATGTGAACACAGTTGTAGACTGTATCAACAAGAGCCCATTGTCCAGATGAATGAAAATAGTAGCACCACTGGCCTTATTTGGAAAACTGTGTGCAGTTCTGTACACCACAGTTCAAGAAAGACATTAAAAAGTTCAAATAAGATCAAATATCCGAGAACTGAGTTTTATGAGGAATAACTTAGGAAGCTGGGTATGTTTTGCTTGGGTAAGTGAAGACCAAGAGGTGACATGATAGCCATCATGAATGAATGGATTAAAATCACAAGAAAAGAAAGTCCACATTTGAATATTTTCACTGGACTGCCTAAGGTGGTAGTGGGCTTTCCATCTTTGGAGATCTTTAAGCAGAGATCAGATGGGTATCTTGCCAAAGTGCTTTAGTTGCGTATTCCTGTGCAACAGAGTTGGACTAGATGGCCCTTCCAACTCATAAGATTCTGTGATTTTACATCTCATGT